AAAATGTCCGTCAGGCACAGATTCCATATCGCCGGCAAATTGATGCGATAAATGGCCTTTATGATAATTTATTGGCGTTTTAAAGTCATTTGTAGGGTTTGTAGTAGTCTTACGTAACGAGGTAAGAGATGTTGGAATAGAATAAGCTACATAAGAAGACAACTCATATAGAGCTGACGAAATTGATTCCAATGCAGAAGGATCTCTGTTAAAAAATAAAAAAGGTTATACGTTTTGAGTATATTTTCTCGAACAAAATTAAATGATTTACCTCAAAAATTTAGGGTCAGCCTTGACACCACTGACATTAGTAGGTTGAGGAAGAGAAGACATTATCTATAGACAATAGTGAAATAAAGAATGTAAAATAAACAGTATATATTCGATATATGAATTTATAGTTTTTTTTTTCTATTTGTGTTATTTAGGAAAAATGTTCTACAATAAAACAAAAAAAGAAAGACTAATATCAAGTTGAATAAAGAGTTATTTTGTAAAACGTAATTTTCGAAGGATTTAGAGTAAAAATACTATATACAAGTTACAATGCTATCGCTATATATGTATGTTATTATATGTATATTAATGACGATATTCTGTAACCTAAAAATTAAATTAAAAATATTGATATTAAAAACGGTTACTTAAATATTTCTGACAAGGTATTATAGAAGCAAATCGAGTTTATGTGTGTACAAAAGTTGAAAATTTATTTGGTACATGCGTACGCACGTACGTACGTTGCGTACGCACGTACGTACGTTACGTACGTACCAGGTACGGACCGTATACGTATGCTCTTAATGCACATTCTATTTTTATCTGTGTCACTAATAATTACTGTTTTTATAAAGCTATATAGGATAATCTAATTTATAATCTAAATCTGCTAGAGTTCTTAGATCTAATTATTACAAAATCTACATAATATTGGGGTCTTTGCCTTGAAAATCAAGTTATGGGACATAGTAAATCATATGTCATATATTTGATTTTCAAGGCAAAGACCCCCATATAATTTAGGATGGAATTTGATATAGAGCCTATAATTGATAGCGAATGGATTCCCATATGCTTCGTGTGAATAAAGTTATCTGATCGAACAATAATAATAGTCATAGACAATTGAAATTATATATGATAATAAACTCCTGAAATAATTCAAGTTATAAAATTATAATTTATTTTCTAAACCCAAGTAAATGATACGATTTTTGGATAGGAATTGATTTTGAACACTGATGTAAACGTGATTTAAATTTGTTTATTAAACAAAGGTATAATGAAGAAAAATAAAGTAACAATAATATCCTAAATCATAATTTGTACTTTATACGTATATTTGTTTGTGATTGATTACAAGTTCCTATAGAAAGGATTCGTGCAATTCTTTACGTATATCATTGTACATATTAAGTTTTATATAAAGATTTGTTACAGTATTTAGGGTTTAACGTTGAAATTTTCCTTGCGAAACCTTTTCTCTATTACCCTTCGTAACATGATCTATTATTCGCGACAATTCCCAACCATCATAAGGCACCTTTTCATAACAAAGTTCCCACATAAGCATCCCGAAACTAATTTTAATGAATAATGATTAAAGATTATAGAAATTGATTATAATTCAAAGATAATCACAAGATTAAGCCATAAATACCTGAACATTTCACAATTAAATGTATACACTCTTTCGTTTTTTTCAAGTTTTCTTAAATCCATATATTTTTCCATTTGTTCAGGTGCCATCCAACTAATAAAGTTTGTTAAATAATTCTTAAGATTACGAGAATGATCATCTTTTCTACGAGAATGCTTAAAATTTCCAAGTTTTGGATCCAAGTTTGCTAGCATCTATAAATTAATATACATATTAAATATACAATATTAACAATTTTGTTGCTGCTTAATACATCCATATGTTACATAGCAATTAATTTAATTAATTAATTTAATTAATTGCATAGAAATTAACTTAATTAAACTTACAAAAACATTTTCACATCTAACATCATGATAAATATTTACACAACGTAAAAATGCAAAAGCTCTACAAATATCACGGACGATAAGTATTTTTCTAGTCCATGGAATATCATATTTTTCATAAAGCTCTTTTAAAGTTCCGTACTCAGCCCATTCACAAACCATATATTGAATATTACAAGTGGTTAAGGGACCATAAAAACTGAGAATATGTTGTGATTCACTTAATTTTCCAAGGATTGCCAATTCAGTTTCATAATATTCGGACTTTTCAATGAATTTACATGCGACATCAATGTTTAAAGGTTTATAAAATTTCTTGACAACTTTACGACCTTTACCACCACGTACGCCACTATCTTTTGGATATGCGGGATTATCTAAATCGCTTTCGTCAATCTTTTTCGCATAAACATCATTTGAATGATTATTTATTTGGGCTTTTATGTAGCTTACATCTTGAGCTATCGTTTCAATTTTATTACCGAGATTGCTTAGAAGCTAAAAAATGATAATGATAAGAAAAATAAATAAATAAATATACATATATATATATATATATATATATATTATAAGAGACTATGATATTTTTTTTAACATTGTTTAAGTACTCACTTGAGTAACTTCTTCTAATGCGTTATCGACTTTTTTAGCATCTTCTTCTCGATTAGCTGCACTATAAACATCGATAGCAAAATTTAATTCTTTCATGCAATCATAAAATTCTTCGGTTAAAATTTTATATCTTTTTTTAACATCCATTGCATTAATAAATCTTTTAAACCCTTTAAGCTTCGATACATTTTTAGTAAAATCTTTAATCTTTGTCAAAATAGCTTCAAATTTTTTAAAAGCTAAATAATAAGATTTTTTACGAAAATTTCCCTCTGCATTATCTATATTTCTTACTATTATATCCATAGAACATTCTGCATCTTTTACTCTATTAGTCATAATCAAACAAATTTCTTTATTACATTCTGCATTTTCATAAATTTGATTAATTTCACCAACTAATAACTTCACTGCACCGATTACAGGAAGATAGAGAGCTACAATATCAGTAATTGTATTTAAAACTATATTGGCCATGTTAGCAGCTGCTGCACGGTTGCTAAACATAGGGTCTGTTTTATCTGTTTTATCAGAAGAAGCCATTAAGATTATAATTGGAAGTTTGTGAATTGTTATAAATGCGCAAAATTTCAACGTTAAACCCTAAATACTGTAACAAATCTTTATATAAAACTTAA